TCTCTTGCCTCAGCCACCGGAGTTGCTGTGATTACAGTTACGTGCCACCACGCCTGCACGCCTGGCTGCAGTTTGCATTTTTAGTAGAGGCAGGGTTTCACCGGGTTGGCCAGGCTGGTCTCAAGTTCCTGGTTTCATGCACTCCTCCCACCTCAGCCGGACATGGTGGCATACGCCTGTCATCCCAGCTACTCAGGAGGTTGAGACAGGAGAATCACTTGAACCCAGGAGGCGGAGGCTGCAGTGAGTTGAGATCATGCCATCGCACTCCAGCCTGGGTGACAGAGCAAGACTTCATTTCAGCTTTGAGAATGGGATTGGGCCTTGTTGTATTAGCTGAGACTTCCTCCAAAGAAGAGCCCAAGACAAAGAGTTACATGGCAGTAGCTCATCTGGGAATTCATCCAGGGAGGCAGAAGTGGGGAAGGGACAGATGCAGTGAGAAAAGACAGAGAGAAAGCCAATACAATGATGTGTTACTCAGTTGGCCACCATTATAGGTGACTTGTGCTGCAAATCCATGGGATAGTTTGAATCTTATGAAACAGAATTGTCCACTCAGGGGATGACAGAGGAAAACATTTATCCTCAAAATTGGCCCAGAGATGTTCCCTAAATATCTAGGTTGCATGTGCCTAAATGCTGATGCCAAGTGGTTCTGCAGACCCACGCAATGTCAGAGAAGCTTCGGGATCCAGGGCTGAGAGGAGACTTTACTTTGCCTTCCAAAGCTGTATGGAACTTGATGAAAAGGTGGCTGCAGATGTGGGTGGAGTCAGAGGTGAGACCAAAAGGATGAGAAGCAGTCGGTGCACAGAATGTGTCTGATACACTGATCTGGAGGTTCACTGAGGGTGACCTTGTCGAACCATTTGTTTGGAGAACACCAGTGTTAGACTCTGTACCTCATTCCTGTAGGCTGATTACGTTCCCCAAAGAAGAGTCTTCCGGGTGGGAGTGGTGGCTCACGCCTGTAATCTCAGCACTTTGGGAGGCCACGGTGGGCAGATCACAAGGTCAGGAGTTCGAGACCAGCCTGGCCAAAATGGTGAAACCCCATCTCCACTGAAAATACAAACATTTGCAGGGCGTGGTGTCGGGCACCTGTCATCCCAGCTACTCGGGAGACTGAGGCAGAAGAATCGCTTGAACCCAGGAGACAGAGGTTGCAGTGAGCTGAGATCCTGCCACTGCACTTCAGCATGGCAACAGAGTGAGACTCTGTCTCAAAAAAAAAAAAAAGCCTTTCACTTTCCTACCTGGAAGACAGAAGTCACTTTGCCAGCAATCTGAGAGCCAGGTGGGGCAAGACAGCTGGAGTCTCTGAGTTCACTGTGCTGCTAGCCACTGGACTTCCCCATTTCCATATTTCCTGTGCCCTCAGCAAGCCTGACATCCTTCACATTAGAGACTTTCTGGAAGATAAACCTCCAGTTTTTTTGCTGGAAGCAGAGAGGGGAGCTAGGGATCTCACTGCTCCTTAAATTGCTCTTGCTCACTTCTCCTTATTTTAGCCTTCTCCTCCACCCGCAGTCCCAACGGTCCCTGGTTCTGGCAGTTTCTGAGCCTTTTGAGGTTTTTCCAGTGTAAGTTGGGTTGGATCTCAGCTTTCTCATGTCTGCTAAATCAGTTACCACTCATCCATCTATTTTTCAGCTTCTAAAATTGTGTTGCTCTTTTCTCCTCTCCTGTTCTCCTTCCCTTATGGTTTTATGACTTAAAAAAAGAAAGAAAACGAATAGAAAAGAAAATCTGTTTAGTGCCGTTTTGGGATAAAGCAAAATTAGTAGCATGCATACTATCTGCCATCTTAGCCTGGAATCCACCCATATATACACAGAGCTAGCTGCCTCCTTTGTGCCCTTCCTGCTTCAACTTCAATATTGCCTCCTCAGATCAGCCTTCCCTGACCACTCAACCAAAATTTGGCCCCCATTATCATAGCACTTATTACTACTGGGTATGTATTTCATTTTCTTTTCTTCTTCTTCTTCTTCTTTTTTTTTTTTTGAGACTTTGTCTTGCTCTGTCACTCAGGCTAGAGTGCAATGGCGCGATCTCAGCTCACTGCAACCTCTGCCTCCCAGGTTCAGGCAATTCTCCTGCCTTAGCCTCCCGAGTAGCTGGGACTACAGGCATGTGCCACCACGCTCCGCTAATTTTTGTGTATTTAGTAGAGACGGAGTTTCATGGTGTTAGCCAGTGTGGTCTCGAACTCCTGACCTCGTGATCTGCCTGCCTTGGCCTTCCAAAGTGCTGGGATTACAAGCATGAGCCACCACACCTGGCCTGTATTTTCTTCTTTTTGAGGTGGAGTCTCACTCTCTTGGCTAATCTGGAGTGCTGTGGTGTGATCTTGCTCACTGTAAATTCCACCTCCCAGGTTCAAGCCATTCTTCTGTCTCAGGCTCCCTAGTAGCTGGGACTACAGGTGTGCACCACCATGCCCGGGTATGGGTATTTTCTTATGCATGGGCTTTCCCCACCGCCCCAGAACATATGCTCCATGATGAGAACAGGTACTCCATCTCTCTTGTCCATGCTATACCCCCAGCTCCTAAAACAGTACCTGGCAGATGGAACAATCTCAGTAAGTGTACTTGGCAATGATTTTTTTTTTTTTTGAGACGGAGTTTCTCTCTTGTTACCCAGGCTGGAGTGCAATGGCGCGATCTCGGCTCACCGCAACCTCCGCCTCCTGGGTTCAGGCAATTCTCCCGCCTCAGCCTCCGGAGTAGCTGGGATTACAGGCATGCGCCACCATGCCTAGCTAATTTTTTGCACCTTTAGTAGAGACGGGGTTTCACCATGTTGACCAAGATGGTCTCGATCTCTTGACCTCGTGATCCGCCCGCCTCAGCCTCCCAAAGTGCTGGGATTACAGGCTTGAGCCACCGAGCCCGGCGGCAATGATTTTTTGAGTATCAAATGATCTTCAACTCTATGCGCGATGTACTCTGGGTAAATCAAATAAAGACTACCACACGTGAAGAAGGAGCAGGGGGTACCAAGAGCATAAGACAGAGCCTGCATGCAAGTCCTGCACAGTATCAGGAGCAGAGCAGCAGGAATCTGGAAATGCCTGCACTTGAAAACCTTGTCCTTGGCTTGACTCAAGGTCATCCTGTGTTTCTGTGGAGCCTCCAAGATCAGCTGGGCTGACAATCTAAAGGAGACACCCCAGAGAAAAAGAGGATGGGAGTAGGGAAAGCAGGGGGAAGGGCAATCCTGCTGGGGTCTCTGCTTCTTCTAGAATTGCTATTAGAGGAATGAAAAGTACAAGAAGGAAAATCAACCTGTGAAGCTTCGGGGAAGGCAGGGGGGACAGTGGGAAGCCCTGTTCTATAGCTGAGCTGTGTGAGGTCATGTGACATTTGGAGTGGAAGCTTCTGCCTCCCGTTTTATGTACCAGCAGTCCTTAATATCAGTGAGGGACACATTAGGTGACATTCACAGCCGTAGAGGTACTGAGTTTTGTGTGACCTTTACTTCATTAAAAGAAAATTATAAGTGTTTATTGTAACTAATTCAGACAATGCAGACCCTTATGAATTAAATAAAAAAGTTACCTTCCTTTCCAGTAGTGTCAGCTTTTAGCTCAGCAGATGGTTTAGTTTCTTTCCTTCTTTCCTTCTCTCTTGCCTTCCCTCCTAAAGATCAGCACTTTGGGAGGTGGGAGTGCTGCTTGAGGCCAGCAGTTTGAGACTAGCCTGGACAACAAAGAAAGACCTTGTCTCTGCAATTGAAAAAAAAAAAAGAAAAAATTAGCCAGGCATGGTGGTGCATGCCTGTAGTCCCAGCTACAAGCGGGGCTGAGTCAGGAGGACGGATGGCTTGAGGTCAGGAGTTCAAGGCTGCAGTGAGCTATGTTACGATCTTGCCACTGAACTCAACCCAAGCGACAGAGCGAGAACTTGTCTCTAAAATAAATAAATTACTTAATAAAAATAAATTAATTAAGGCTGGGCATTGTGGCTCATGCCTGTAATCCCAGCACTTTGAGAGGCTGGGGCGGGTGAATGACTTGAACTCAGGAGTTCCAGACCAGCCTGGACAACATGGTGAAAACCCGTCTCTACTAAAATTACAAAAAAATTTGCCAGGTGAGGTGGTGCGTGCCTGTAATCCCAGCTACTCAGGAGGGTGAGGCAGGAGAATCTCTTGAGCCCAGGAGGCAGAGGTTTCAGTGAGCCGGGATTGTGCCACTGCACTCCAGCCTGGGTGACAAAGCAAGACTCTATTTCCAAAAGAAAAAAAATTAATTAAGGCAATATATATACACGGTTCAAAATTCCAAAGTCACAAAAAAGCAGAGTGCAAAGTGCCCCTTCTGCCCCAATTCTCTAGCTTTGTCTGAGGTCTCCTCCTCTGAGGCAACCAGTATAAACATGTGTTTGTATCTAGGGAGACTCTAGAAATATTCTCTGCCCATCCAAGGTTTTCACTGGACAGTATTGAACAGTAACAGAACTACTCAGAGCCCACGCACAGGCCTTTCCTCTAAGTGAGCCAAGGGTTTGGCTTTTCATCCTCTTTCCCAGAGAAATAGCAGTAACAGTCAGTGTGACTTCTGGGTGAGAGGGATTTCCTCTCGCTTCTGCAGCAGATCACTGAGAGTGAAAAGGTGCTGTGGAGGGGAAGATGTGGTCTGCCAGGTGTCAGGTGCTTTTGTTTTTTTGAGACGGAATCTCGCTCTGTCACCTGGGTTGGAGTGCAATGGCACGATCTTGGCTCATTACAATCTCCACCTCCCGGGTTCAAGCGATTCTCCTGCCTCAGCCTCCTGAGTAGCTGGGACTACAGGCACATGTCACCATGACGGGCTAATTTTTTGTATTTTTAGTAGAGACGAGGTTTGACCGTATTAGCCAGGATGGTCTCGATCTCCTGACCTTGTGACCTGCCCACCTCGGCCTCCCAAAATGCTGGGATTACAGGTGTGAGCCATGGCACCCGGCTAGATGCCTTTTATTTACAGCAAAACTCTTCTTGCTTTACAGAAGGATGACTGAAGACATGGCATAGATATGGCAAGAGAAATCATGGCTGTCCTTTGTGATAGCAGACAAAGTTTCAATAAAGGGCCTTCTCTAAAGAGGACATTGTGTGGGATGTACACTTGGGAGAAGAAAGCTGCTTTATGTAAGTCGTCCAATGTATGTCTTCATACAATTGAGTCACTCCACAGCCGAATTGTAGGGGTCCAAATATCAAAGGAGGAGCAAACGAGAGAGCTGGAGGGCTCCCAGGTGGCATCAGGAGATTGACAGCAATGGGGTGGAGCAAAGTCTGGGGATTCAATGAGACTGGATCTCACGTTTGATTCTGAAGGTAGAACACCTTCAATGAAGCATAGGAGGGCGGAGCTGGCAAATCAGGAGGAACCACACAACAAAAGATCTAAATGAACCTACTCAGCCAAGGGACAGTTTCTGAAAGGAAACTAGGAGAGGCAGAAGGGTCTGAAGGCAAATTATCTGGGCTAAAATACTTCTTAGCAGTGTGAACCCGAGTTATTTAAACTCCTTGAGCTTTAGTTTCCTAATACAGATAAGACACAGAGAGGGACGACAACTGTCTCTCATTGGAGTGTATTATGATTAAGGTACTCCCCAATGAGAGTTGAGAACAATGTCTGGCACCCAGTCAGCTAACCCAATGCTTTTCAGCCTTGACTGTTTTAATAAAGGCCTGCTCAGGCCTGTTTCCCTGATATAGACGTACTCGGTGATGAATCTGGAAAGGCAGAATCATAGAGGGATTTCAGTTAGTAATAGGAGGGGAAAAAATGGAAGGAAAAGGGAGTGAACAACAGCGCAGCAAAAACACACCAGAGGAATGAGAAAAATAGGATTCAGAATGGGGCTATTTCAGCAAAAACAGCCTTGTCGCAGGTCCACGGTGTTGAAAGGTACACTTTGTAAAGCAATGTCTCTTGGAGAAAATTTAATTTCGGTTGAAGAAGTATAGAGAGTGTGAGAGAGAGAGAGAGAGAGAGAGAGAGAGAGTGTGTGTGTGTGTGTGTGTGTGTGTGTGTATGTGTATGTGTATGTGTGCCCACCTAGAGCTCAAAGTATATTACCAAGGAGGGTGGCCAGGTTGCATACAGGGAAATCAAGATCTGTAAAAAGTCAGGACAAGTCCTAGCTCTGTTCTAAGTGGCTGATGATACACTGAGCCAAATCAATTAACAACTGTGTCATTTTTAAAGGCGGCCAGACTATTTCCTAGGCTCTATATGTATGTAACATTTTCTGATGCTAACCGGGGGCAGGCTCAAACGAATGTAGGAGTTGCTTACCTCATCCCTGAGCCCCTCCCCTAAAAAAAATCCGTGAAAACTAAGAGCACCTGGTGTTCCTTCCATTTCCCTCAGGTCCCCTGCCAAAAGGAGCAAGATTTCTAAATACCGGCAATGGGAGAGAGCTACCTCTTTTTCTTTTCCCATCCATTTCAGGAAAGTTTAGGTTTTCATTTTTTTTTTCCCTACGGTCTGCTTAAAGTTGTTTCCAGGTTAAGGTAGGAAGAAGTAATGAAAAAAAGTGAGATTTGCCGAAAGGATATGAGGTTTGTTTTGCCTTACTCTCTGGAAGGAGGTTGAAAAGATAGACTGCGATTGTTCAGGTTCAAACTGCTGCTGTAACAAATAATTGCCCTACAGGGTGGAATCCAGTCAACTGGCATTGAGATTCGCTAAGGCCTCAGGATACTGGACATTCTTTTAATCTTTAAAATTTTTATTTTTTGATTTCCATGACGACAACTCACAAGACACTAGACATTCTTTTAGGCAATCTCAGGTAAATGGGCAACAGGCCATCTACGAGTCCTCAAGTAAATCGCATCTCAATTCGGATACTGGGCTAGGAATGTGCTTTGTGGTGAAACCACTGGTCCTGCCTGTGTGACCTTGATGGAAGGTCTGGGCGTTTAGAACAAATATTTGGAGGCTATGGCTGCTGGCCCAAGGGCTGTGGACCTGCATCTTGTTTGCTCATCATCCTCAGTCATTTTTTTCTTTCCTTTTTTTTTTTTTAAAGACAAAGTCTGAACTCAGGAACATCGAAGACAAGTGCTTTTTCCAGAGGCGAAGCCACTACTTGGGCGAGCTGCACTGAGGATTCCGGGCCTGGCCTAGACCATACCAGAAACCCCGCAGCTAGCCCGGAGGGGTCCGCACTGCGGGGAGAAAAGCAACAGCTCAGCTCCAAACCCGAAGGTTCACCACCAGCCAATCGTTGCCCGGGGCTTCTCAAGGAAACCAGAAACGCCTACGGGCGGTGAATGCTGCTCCGGCCAGCCTATCCGCACGAAGGAGGCGGAAGGGGTGGGGTTGACATTAGCCAATAGGATGAAAATAGTTGTTGTTGGGAGGGAGGAAGACGCCAGCTAGCGTGCGTGAGGCCGCTCCCGGATAGGGGCTGCAGGAAACTCGTGGAGCCAATGGCCGCGGCGGGCGGGCGGCGGCGCGCGTGCGCGCTGGGCCCCGGGGCTGCGGGCGGGAGGCGGGGACGGTGGGGGAGGGGAGCGGGCTGGAGCGCGGCGGAGCTCCTGCCGCCGCAGCCGCCGCCGCCGCAGCGAAGAGGCCATGTTGTGTGGTGTGTGGGGCGGGGGGGGAGGAGGAGGGAGTAAAGCCTAGAGAGGAGACGGGAGAGAGACACCACACACACACGGCACAAGATGGCCGGAGAGGCAGCAGCACCCCGAGCTGTCAGGCGTTCTGCCGCGGCCGCGGGGCCCGCCGGCTGGCGGGGAGCTGCGCCCGGACGGCCCGCAGGCCCGCGGGAGTGGGGCGGCCGCGGCTGGGGCGAGACGGGCCGCGCGCGCCGGCGTGAGAGCCCGCGGCAGAGGCACCCAGGGCGGCCGGGCCCACGACGCCGACAGCGCCGCTGCGGCAGCAGCCTCGGAGGCTCCCCGGGGCCCCGGCGGCTGGACCCGGTGCGGACGGAAGCCTCGGGCGGGCGGTCCGGCCCGGGACTCTGGTTTGGGCGATCAGGAGGTGCCGGCGGCCGCGCTCGGACCCGGTGAGTGGCTCCCCGGCTCCTTTTATTGTCCTTTGTCCTTGGGAGGAAAAGCAAAATGTCCTTGAACGCGCGAGCAGGAGGGGGCGGCGGGCCGGGCTTCGCCGGTCGGCTCTCCTCGCACGGCCCCTCCGCGGTCGCCGGCCGGCTCTCCCGGGCGGGATGCGCCTTGGTGCCCTGGGCCCGAGTCTTGGGGTCCCGGGGTAGGGGGCACGCGGGGCCCCGCTGCAGACCCCGCGGGCGGCAGGTGGGCGGGGGGCGGCCTCGTAGCCGCGACTTTATCCGCTGGGGAAGGGGCGGCGGGCGACTGCTGGCGAGACCCCGAAGGGGATCGGGCGTGGAGAGCCCCTTTCTGTCCTGGTGAGTTATTTTGATATTTAGGGTAAAAAAAAAAATCCCTTTCAGGTTCTCCAACGGAGGAGCTTTATAACCTCTTTCCGGTGAGGTGGGAGCTCATCTTCATGATCGAATTTAAAAGAACAATGGAGCCCTGACTACGTTTAAACAAAAATAAAACTTGTTTTTTTCCCTCCTATTGGGTGTTGGCTTTTAACTCTTTCAAAGCCGATTTTGAAACGGCTGCAGTGATACATGCGAAGGCACTTGCTGCTTATTAAACCTTTATGACGTTAAGGTTGTCTTTGAAAAATGCAAGTTGGAGGAGTGCTTCTGGTATTTCAGAATTACGAAGACAAGTTTACTGTGTCGTCAAGGCTGTTTAATGGAAATAGATTTGATAATTACGGTGCTAGCCGATGACGTTTGGTTAATGTAGTTTATTTTACTGAATAATTACGCCAAGACTGTTTGATCTCCTGATATTTAAATACGATTAAATAGACTGTTTGTTACTTTTTAAAAAGGTCACAAGGAGCCGTTATCTGTAACTTCTCACACCTGAATGTTAGAACGTACTTGGGTCAATTCGTACTCTTTAAAACTTAAAGTTCATAATTTTTTTTTTATTTTTAAGACTATGTATTATCACAAGCCACGGTCGAAAAACTTACAAAAGAACATTGTGACACCAAATCTCTTCCTGAAGTTACTTTTTCGTAGTGTAAATATTAATAAAGTAGAACTGCTCTCGGTAATGGGCGATGAAGAGGAGCCATATTTGTTGCATTTGTTGCATGTATAAAAATTTAGATATGCTTAAAACGGAACAGTATTTTAAAAGTAACAGGTTTCACAAAATTTTGTAGAGTTCTCTGTATAGTCTCTAATCTTAAAAAAAAAATGTTCGAAGAGTAATTTTTAAGTTTAGTGGTTTGTAGAACAAACCAGAAGCGCACAAACCTTTGTGTATTTTGGAATATGTTTGTCTTCATTCTGCGGAGCTCTTGTGTTGTAAAGATGGAGAAGAACTACGTAAAAATAGCGTTGGGTAGACTTACATGGTACATCTGAAATCACATACTGGTTTATTTGACCGTATTTCTAAGGGCATTTTGCCAGTTAAATTATTTTGTTTTTTGAGTAACCTTCATATAGGGGTGCATGTTACATCAGTTGCGCATATCTTGATTTTACAGAATCTGTTTTAAGTACCAAATTTGTTCCTTCAAATCAATGTTTCTGAAATTTTTGAACACTGAAAGTGGTTTTAAATGGATATTCTTAGTGTAGTTCTTGAGAATTCTCTTTGAATTGTGAAATGCAAAATAATTGCTAGCAGTTTAACCTGAAAGCTCTTTTTAGATGGTAAATGGGGGAGGAGAAAGACTGAAATGAAAATGTTGAAGACACTGGTTTGAAATTGAGTAAAGGTCTAGATACCTTAAGTTTCAGAGTAGCTTTAAAGACAAAGCTAATATCCCACTTGGTAAGATCAAATAACTTGTGGTTTAAAATTTAAAGTAACCAGGGGCCATATTAACTTCATTAATTTCTCTTGGAGGAGCTAATTTTTAATTGCTCGTAATTGTAAAAGATATTTCTAGATGGTAAGGGAGGTATCAAGATGATTTGTCTTGAAGAATAGTAAACTTTTTCTTTGTGTTTGTTTATTGCTGGCATGAAAGAGGGAAAGTTAACATAAAAACGGGGTTCATAATCTTAAATCAGTCCGAAAATTTGAATTTTCTGTATGTTTCATTTTAATGCGTTAATCTTTAGTATTGGTCAATACAGCCAAAAGATGAGGAAAACAAAGACTGATAGATAACTAAGATAAGAAATAACTGCAACCATAAATGTACAGGTTGTGTGTCGATGAGCCGTCTCTTTAATTTACCCATAGATTTTTGTTTGTGGAATATTTTCTTGTTTTATCACACTGAATCATTGGCCAAGAAATGTTTAAAAATCAGTACATTAATATCATCTTTCTTCTTTTTTTAAAAGGTGACTTAAGAGATTAAAATTCATTTGGTTGCTGATGATTCTGAACAGATAGAGTTATTTGAGGTAAGACTGGGTTAATTTCTAATTGTTTTGACAAACAGCTTATTAGGTTTTTGTTTTACTCTTTAATTTACATTTCAATTAATGAATGAGTATCATTTGAAAAACGGTGATTATAAATATGAGTAAACTATCTGAAATAATTTGACAAAGCGTTTAAGCCTTTTCACTGCAGGAAAGATTAGAAGTATATGTGCATAGCCATTGTAACTTAATGTACCCTTTGAATAGTTTAAAATACTGAAGGTCCTTTAAGCCTTTGTTTAATTTTGGAAGCTAGGGAAGACTGATTAGATTTTGGGGAAAACCAGGCACCAAAGATAGCTTTTTTTCTTTTTAACTCTGTATATCATGCAAACAATTTTAATCTTTTAAGTATTTAAACAAATCAACTTATTGGAGAATTTGAACTAGTTTGCTATTTATACTGATAGATTTTAGGGAAGAACATTTTAAAAATCAGGTTTTCAGCTTGATTTTAGTTTCTATTTGTTTATTTGTAATTAAAAAGTTGAAAAACACTTATTTTTACTTGTTATTGTTTGTTTCCTAAGTAAGTTTAGCATCTTGTTTGTTTTCACCAAAAGGTATGCCATTTTGAAGACTGAGACATTGGAGTTTTATCCTTGAGGATAAAGGAAATCTTTGGGAAAGTCAGTGTTTTATATAGCAAGTAAGTAAATGTTTTTACCCAACATCTGCAGTTGAATAGTTACCAACATTTAAGTATAAAAATATCACTGAAGTTTGTTAATGAAACAAACTATAGACTGTTTATCACTGAAAGGATGAGAAAACCATCGAATTGCTTTTCCTGACATTGAAACCCTTCTATTTATATTAAGACAGTCGATGCACATAATTTATATTGCAGCAGGAAGACATTTAGTACATTTAGTACTTCTTAATAAAGTGGTGCTTTAAGATTGTAGTTAAATCTGCAGTGGAGTCATCAGGATTATGTTTTTACAATCTGGTATATACAATCAGCAGCCATTTTTTTTTGATGATACAGATCCCATTTTCGGAGTGGTCTAGAATTTCGCATTTGCTGACTGTAGGATTCTTAAAATATATTTCAAAAATTCAGTAGACACTTCTGTATCTTAGTCATTTAATAAATAAAAAATATCCATTTTGCTTGTTTTCATGAATTTTCAAACAGGTCCAAAAATGAGTTGTTTTCTAGAAAATAAGAGCAATGCATCTACAGAGTCCTCTAATTTAATTGATTAATAATTGCTTTTAAAGCATAAAAGATGGAAATAATTTTCACATACAATAGGTATTAGGCCCAGCATACCACATATGTAACACTTGACATCTTAAAACTAGATACGAGACTTTAAAAGAATGTCTACTGATATTTTTAAGGTAATATGCCTTCTTTATAAGTTAATGTTGAATTTGAAAATTAATGTTGAGCTGTTATTAGTGATTGACTAGAGGAAATAATGTGGTATAATAATGGGTATCTTGGGAAATTTTAAGAATTGCCAAACGACCAGTTAATCATACTAAGGGCAAGTTTACCATTGTCTTTAAAATTTATGTGGAAAATAAAATAGTCTTTCAATGCATTGTTGTTGGCTTATTTCATTGATTGAAATAGGTGATAAGAGGAATATTTTTATTGCTTTTGCTTCAGCTTAACTTCTTAAATCCCTTTTTTGGAGTTCGATCAAATTTGGGTGTATTACAGTGTGCAAAAGAAAACTAAATGTTTGACTTTTAACTATAGTGTTAAAACATTTACAAGAACCGTTGAAACATCCTTCACTTCAGAACTTCTTTAACACAAATGCCAAGGTTAGGGTTTCCTCTGTACAGTTGATATGATACTCGATTGGCATTCCTGTGGTTAGGCACCGTTACGGAAATTGAGAAATGGGTCTCTTATGTGAAGCATAATCTGAATTTAAGTATAAATAGGCAATAAATTTATACTGGCCTATGGAAGGTGTAATTTGATTCATAAAAAAGAAAACAGCTGGAAAGGGCTAGAAATGTGAAATCAAAGATTCACATATCCTTAGATCTTTGTTAG